TGACCACCTCTGACCCTTGTGCAGGCCTTCCGTCCCGGAAACATCGATGCGCCCGCCCAGACTCACGTCGCCAATCCCACAAACCTCATGCTACAGGATCAGATCACCGATCTCGATCTGTTGGCTCCCATGCCCGACCCTTCTTTTCTTCTCTCCCAGCCTCTTAGCGGCAGCCTCAACCTCGGCAACACCACAGTCCCCGATTGGGACAACAGCCAGTTCCTTTCCGGCAGCATTGAGCAGGCGCGTGGGGAGCCCATGGAACTGCCGGATGACGACCTAAACCTAGACATTGGAGAGGATGATGACTTGGAGCCGACAGCCGCCTACGACGAGGGTACCAGCATTGAAGTCGGCCGTAACGCACCTTTGGAACGACGTCGGTCCGAAGAGTTCACCGGGCTAGGCAAAGACATGATCGTGGATGACGACGATCTCGGCATCGACCTTGGCGAAGATCCTCCCACTGAACTCGCCCGCGGCCATGAACTCAATTTGGACGATGATCTGGATATTACTATGGGCGGTATGGACATGGACACCGAACTTCCTGCAGGCTCGATCGCCGGCGACTTCCCTGTGCGACAACGTGAAGAGTCACCGCTCTCCGAGTTGGGAGAGGAGGAGGCCACACGTCTTGAACAGGAGGTTGCCGAACAGAACGTCACCGTGTTTGAGCCAGAGCCAGAGCAGGAAGAGGAAGAATCAATCCATCAAGCCCGCGCCAAGCGCAGGAGGGTCATTGCAGCTGATGCCGAAACTATGATCTCAAGTCACCAGTTGAGGGAGCAACAGAACAACCGCGAGAAGATCCTCAAGCCTGCATCGTTCCTGCCTCGTGACCCTCTTCTGATGGCTTTGATGAACATGCAAAAGTCCGGAGGGTTTATCTCAAGCATACTGGGCGACGGACGAAGCCAAGGATGGGCTCCAGAGCTTCGAGGTATTCTTTCCCTAGAAGTTGTCTCACGCCCAGCCCAGAAGCGCAAGCGAGGTGGTGCAATTGCCGACAATGACGCTACCGAAGACGAGGCCGCAGCCGAAGGAGAGAAGACGCCACAACTGCAGCTGGAATTTGAGCAGGATGAGCCGACTTTGGGAGGCGGTGACCTTGGCCTTGGTGGCGACAACGACCCCACGCTTGCGGGATCCGACGATATCGTTCAACTTCCCGATGACCCTGGTTTCCAACAGGTTGGTGATGACGAAGAGGACATTTTCTCGCCTGTTCCAGACAACTTCGACGACACAACCGCGCCGCTCGTCCATCCCGACGAAGCCGGGCCCGTATCGCTAGGCACAAAGCATGCTGTCCATTTCTTGCGAGAACAGTTTGGACCCGAAGCTGAAGAGAGCGAGTCGGTACGACAGAAGACCAGCATCGTTTTCCAGGATGCCTTCCCAGAGGCCCGCACATCACGGACAGACGCGACGAAGATGTTCTTTGAAATGTTGGTACTGGCGACCAAGGATGCCATCAAAGTTGAGCAGCCAGCTAACGAGCTTGGTGGCCCTCTACGCATTCGCGCTAAGCGTGGCCTTTGGGGACAATGGGCAGAGACTGGTGCTAGTGGCGAGCTGGCATCCCAGGCTCAAGCAGCACCTACAGGAGATCCCGACGCGCCCGCTGAGGCCATGTTCCAGGGACCACCTGAGGTGTCTGTATCTGCCTAAATGTTCAACAATCTGTGTTTCTCCGACCTTCTTTGGGGCTTGGTATCATCTGTCGGTGTTGGCTGGATACCCTTTTCATGTATGACTCTTTTCACGTTGGAGACGGGCTTTGACTGGTGTTTTGGTGTTTTTGTGAGGTACGGTGTTTGTGGGAAATTGGTCCCCTGTACGATTGTATTAGGATAGTTACATTAGCTTGAAAAACGGAATGAATTCAGTACTACCTTTATGGATCGTTAATTCCTTTCTCCAAATGATGTCTGAGACAGTCGGTTGATCGACTGGGGTTGATGACTTCTAGGAAGTGTGCGTGGTGTTACCGTGTATTGCTCGGAAGAAGTTGGGGTTGTCCATCTTGAGGCAGGTGCGCCACGGCAGATCATCCCGAGGTCGGCAACTGCGTCTTCGCGGCCTTCCCGTTTCCACCTACCCACCTCTCGAACTTCGGCGGAAACATCACCGACCAACATTCCCGTCGTGCTAGTCATCGCATACCGTGATGCCTGCGAATGGGCCGGTGACAGGCCGCACGCGCAAAAGGGCTGCCGAGGCGTGTACGTTCTGCCGGCGGAGGAAGGTTCGTTACTGGACGTCTGCATGCCATCGTCGAGGAGTTGCATACTGAGGCTGGCAGATCAAATGCAGTGCTGAAAAGCCAATCTGCGCAAGTTGCAAAACGCATGATACAATTTGTCATTACGAGCCTATATCTATAGATGACGCACAGCATGCTACCAGTCGTCCGCGCAAGACGCCGCGAGCAGCAAGAACATCCGAGAGAGCGTCAGACAGAACATCAGAGTCGACACCATCAATTGCTGCTTCTGCACCTGTTGCACAGACCCCCGCAACTACACCCCAAAGCGTGTCGCGCATTGTTGTCGCTCCCAATGGCTCCTCTAGCTATCATGGGCGCACGAGCACTTTATTTGACGAAGGCACCAATGATCGATATGCTGCTGAAGCACGACCCCAAATGTCAGATGAATGGATCGAAAAAGGTCTCGTTGCTGAAGCTGCTCGTCAGAGACAACTTGAGACCGTCAACTTTCGACTTAAGAAGCTCGACTTCGACGGCGTCGAACCTGAGCTTGGTATGCATCTATTGTCATTACATTGGAACCGGCAACACCATTCTTTCCTTACTACCTATCGCCCAGCCTTTATGCGTGACATGGCATGCGGCGGTCCGTACTTCTCCAAACTTCTCTTGAATGCCATCTACTTCGGCGCAAGTAAGTTCAGCCCACGGCACGAAGTTCGCCGTGTAGCAGACGATGTCCGCACTGCTGGTTGGCAATTTCGTGAAAGAGTGAGAGAACTCCTGGGAGGCGCTTTGGACAAGAGCGAAATCACAACAATTCAAGCGTTGCTAGTTATGACCAACTCGTTGTTTGCTCTTGGCGATGAGCGCAGTGCTGCCTGGCTGTACGCTGGGTTGGCGTTTCGCATGATCGTTGACCTTGGTCTTCACGTTGATAAGCCTGAATTTGCAGGGTATCGTAAGCTTTCTGATGAGGACCATGAGATCCGACGTCGCGTTTTCTGGGCAGCATTTGGTAGGTATGATATTCATATCGCTCATCATCACACTAACTAAAAGCGCAGTCGTCGACAAGATCCAAAGCCTCTATCAAGGTCGCCCAGTGAGCATGACGGAGACACTCGTACCCACCAAATTTCTCGACACCTACGAAGAACTTGAGCATTGGACGCCCTTTTCCTATTCCACGCAACCAGACGCCGTCTATCTAGGTTCGCCGGCATATAGTATCTCCACGTTTCGACACCTTTGCCAGCTCTCGGTTATTCTGAGCGACATACTCAGCACCATCTATACCGAAAGAAGCTTCGACGTAAGCCCTACAGAGCTGTCCACCAAGTTGGAGAGCATACATCAAAAGCTGTTAACATGGCGTGGGCTTCTGCCCGAACACCTCACGGTAGATGTAGCGGAAGTAGCGGCGACACCTCCTCCGCATGTTCTAAGCTTACAGTAAGTGATTATAACGCTGCACACGCCACGGATGTACTAAAACAACACTAGCGCCTTGTACCATGTTCTCACGATTCTCTTGCACCGACCCTTCGTCGCAGATGGGCATCTCTACAATACATCACGCGCCATCTCCGTGAACTCGTTTATGGCGTGCGCCACTGCGGCGGATGCTATTGTACAGCTCCTGAGAGCATACGACAAAACTTTCAGTGTGCGGAGAGCCCCTTACCTGATTTCCTATGCGACTTATGTTGCTGCCACTGTGCATGCCCGTATTGCAGCCAAGCGTGGTGCCGGCTCACAAGCTCATAAGAGCCTAGAGACTTGCTTAGCCGTTTTCCGCGACAACCAAGAGACTAATTGGGCTGTACGACGCGCCAATGCCATTATCCAGAGCCTAATGAAGAGATTGGGTGTTGTTGCACCCGAGCTGAATGACATACACATCGGCAGTGGTGAAGACAACCACAGCAGCGCACCAGACGTTTCTTTGGGCAGTGCAATGAATCGCGAACCAAGCCTACAAAGCTTCGATATCGATGGCATTATCCAGAGTTTTGTCCGAGATCAGGACTCTACGCATCTAGCGCAGCCAGGTTCAATGGACCCTGCTGCCGACATGGCTGTACCTGGAGTGCCGCCGTCGGCGTACAATACCATGGAGACGGCGAACATGCCCTACGGAAATTCTGGTAACTGGGCGTATCAGGACCAACAACAACCCTTCAGTGAGCAACCATTTTCGGTGGATGACCTCCTTTACGGTTTCAACGGATCAGAACTTGATCAATTCCCAGCCATGAATTGGGACATGTAAGAGATGGGTATGGCGACATGAAGCTCTCCCTGTCACCCAAAGTACCATTAAAAGTCATTGTCATTATCATCGGATCATCACGAGACGAGCGCACACAAGAAGATGCTCTTCCTGTCACTGCGTTGGATTCTGTGGGGCATCGAGTCCCGCGGGAAGAAAGCCGAGGTTTTACCGCGGCTAGGCTTTCCGCAGCATGTCAAGATCCCACGGCATCTAACGCACTAACGGGAAGAGTCTCATGCCTATCCGTCGAATACACTGCGGCCCGTACTCCTGGTCGTTTCTACCCGAACATTTTTGGAACGAAGGCATATATAGAGAAGTGCATTGCCCGATATGATGACACATTTCAAGCTAGAAACGAAGCACCAACTTCATCAACTTCACCACCTTGAACCGTAGCATCATCCTCTATAGATGCTACGCACAATTCTCAAACCATCCATTCTCCAAAAGGCACACGCCTCGACTGTCTCACACATCTCGCCGATCCGCATACCTGAACTCCCAATGGCACACGAAAGCGCCCCGAAAAGAGTGCGACACAGCCTACCAGCCGTTTTGATGCGTGCTGGTACTTCAAAAGGTCTCTTCATTCATCGTCACGACTTGCCATCTTCCCAATCAGCGTGGGCTGGCCCATTACTTGCCGCCATGGGCTCTCAAGGCTCAGACGCTCGACAGATTGACGGCGTAGGAGGGGCTACTTCAACGACTTCCAAGGTTGCAGTTGTTTCGCCATCATCACGAATGGGCGTTGATATCGATTACACTTTTGTACAAGTAGCAGTGGGTCAGGAGGCAGTCGACTTCAGCGGAAACTGTGGAAACATGTGCGCTGGTGTAGGACCATTCGCGCTACAAGAGGGGTTAGTGCGTGCAAGTCCCGGAGAGAAGACGGTAAGTTCTTATATTGTAATTGAGACGAATAGGATACTCATTCTTCTTTAGCTCGATGTACGGATCTTCAATACGAACACTTCGCGGGTCATCGTCGATACTATTCAAGTAGACGAGGACGGGTCGTTTGATGAAGACGGAGACTACGCGATACCCGGCGTCAAGGGAACCGGAAGTGAAGTAAAAGTGGCCTTTGTGGATCCTGCCGGGAGCATGACCGGAACTCTCTTTCCTACGGGGAGACGATGTGATACTATACATGTGAAAGGACAAGACGGCAATCGATTCTCAGTCAAGGCGACGTTGATAGACGCAGCGAACCCTTTCGTCCTAATCGACGGACGAACATTTCCGTCAAGCCTGAGGAGGGGGAGCAAGGACACGGCCGTCTACCTCAAGGACATGGAGTCAATACGATGTACTGGCGCCGTTTTGATGGGTCTTGCTTCTGATATAGACGCTGCTGCAAAGGTCCGTGGTACACCGAAGCTGGCAATCGTTTCATCTCCTCAACCAGGTGACCATGGCCCGGAAGGCACGCCGGACGTTCATGTCCAAGCGTTCAGTATGGGCAAACCCCACCCGAGCTTGCAACTCACAGGTGCGGCATGCTTGGCGTCGGCAGTGTGCATAGAAGGTACTGTAGCCCACGGACTTGCATCCGGCAGCAAGGTGCAGTCCTCCTGGCAGTCGTCTTCACCTGAGCGGACACCGAGTCCCTGCTCAGACTCTGATGGTAGCTCTTCGGATCTTCTACCGAGCCAAAGGAGAGTCTGTCTTTCGCATTCGAGCGGGTCGATCAGGGTTGATGTTCTGGCAACCAGCTCGGAGTCGTTTGCTTTTGTCGATAGGTGCGTTGTCTCGCGGACTGCTCGGCGGTTGTTCGAGGGGAAGGTATATTATTACTCAAGTAGCGTTTAATCAAAGTAAATCCAAGTTCTACAAGATGACGATGAGGAAATTGCGCGGACTTCAGCCACAGCTGTAGAGTTTGAGAGAGGCTGGTGCATGACATCACACGCAGAGCTACGAAAAGTCGCGCCATCACTTGGTCGTGCGGCGGACACGTACCTGCCAAGGCGTCACTCGACGCTGCGAGAAGCCGACACATGGTAGGCAACACAACCCTAAGCTACAAATAGAGGTTACATTGAGTGTTTCAAAACAGACCACGTCGTCAGATGGGTCTAGTGCTGTGAAGTCAAACAGTAGTTGGTGTGAAAGTGGTGACCAGACGCTCGATGGAGACCCCTGCTCGAGAGTACCGGTGCTTTGACGTTTTGGTGCACCATCGACATTGAGCAACACCATCCCCAACGACAACCCGCAGTCGACTCGCCATTTCCTTGTCTCGTCCCGCTCGCCAATCAAAGCCGCATTATTACTACTAGCACCAATGCGATAATCCACGGCGACGCGCATCTTTTCCCACGCTAGCTCTGGACGGATAGGCCACGTTGGACGGCGGCGCAACAGTCGACTCCTGGCCATGCCAACATGTCAAAAGCATCCACGTCCTCATTGCCCCTCTACAATGCCGCGGGCCTGCCCTCCAAGTCTTCGCGGCCCTCTTCGCCCATGCTGCAGCCGCCAGAAGCCATCAAGCGCAGCACCACGCCCTCAGTACGCCATGCGCTCCGGAGTTTTGGAGACGCCGCTGACACGTGTGAATAGTCAATAACATCTGCCCATTCCCTCCTCTCGGCTCAGGACACGGCCCACAAGCTCTCGACGTCGATTACACATGGCCTCTCTGCTTCGGACGCCTCGGCGCGCATCCACACCCACGGCCTCAACGAACTCCCCCACGAAGAGCCCGAACCGCTCTGGCTTCGCTTCCTCAAGCAATTCAAGGAGACGCTGATCTTGCTGCTGCTCGGGTCCGCTGCTGTCTCCCTCATACTGGGCAACTTAGATGATGCTGTGAGCATTGCAGTGGCTGTGACCATCGTGGTGACAGTGGGCTTCGTGCAGGAATACCGCTCGGAGAAGTCAATTGAGGCGCTGAACCAGCTGGTTCCGCATTCGGCACACATCATTCGCGCTGGGGTCGAGCAACCACGGAACGGTCGCATACCGAATGGTACGGCAACTGACGACGTTGAGTTGGAGAATCTGAAGGACACCACTTCGGCCCTGTCAGCTGCGGAGCGGAAGTCGACTACCATATCTGCGACACTATTGGTACCTGGCGACCTCGTCCTTTTCCACACTGGAGACCGTATACCCGCCGACATTCGTATCACGCACGCCGCAGACCTCAGCATCGACGAGTCGAACCTCACCGGAGAGAATGAGCCTGTCTCCAAGTCGCCAGACACCATCACACCCCCACCGGGCTTACAACGACCATCTTCACCTTTCTACGCGTCCGAAGCCGCAGGAACGGTCGGCGCTGATATACGACTGAACGATCAGAAGAACATTGCTTTCATGGGTACATTGGTTAGATCGGGTTACGGACAAGGAATCGTCGTCGGTACAGGAGGCAACACGGAGTTTGGTGCCATTTCTGCATCTCTACAGCAGATCGAAAGCCCGCGGACGCCTCTACAACTTTCCATGGACCGTCTGGGCAAAGACCTGAGTTACATGTCTTTTGGAGTCATTGCCTTAATTGGTCTGGTAGGGCTGTGGCGCGGTTGGAAGTTCATTGAGGTCTTCCAGATCGCCGTCTCACTCGCTGTCGCCGCTATCCCCGAAGGACTGCCGATTATTGTCACTGTCACGCTTGCGCTGGGTGTGCTGAGGATGTCCAAACGCGACGCCATTGTTCGACGGCTACCTAGTGTTGAGACGCTGGCTTCTGTCAACGTCGTGTGTACTGACAAGACGGGTGAGTCAACCATTCTTCACGCATGTGGCATTTGCTGACTTGGACCAGGCACGTTGACCACGAACCATATGACCGTTACGAAGATATGGCACTTTGACGAAGCAGCACCGATTGACGTAAAGACGAAGCACGACTCCACGGACCTCGATTCGCCGACCCGCAACATACTACGAATTGGCAACATTGTCAACAATGCCCGCTTGTTGAGCGACCAGGCAGCCTCCGCGTCCACGGCAGCGGTTCTTTCTTCGACTCTAGGAGGTGACGACAATACAGCTGCCAAGAGCCGATGGGTCGGTCAACCTACCGATGTCGCGCTCTTAGACCTGATGGATGCTTTTGGGGAAGACGATATCCGGGAAAGACTCGGCGAACGCAAGTTCGAGACACCGTTCAGCTCAGAGAGGAAGTGGATGGGGGTCGTCGTTGGCGGTAATTCTGGCAACCTCACCCCTGGATCTGAGCACGCATACATCAAAGGCGCACTGGAACGGGTTCTGGACCGCTGTGATACGTATGTCACGGCACAAGGGAAAGAGGTTGCACTGGACCAGGCACGCAAGCAGGAAGCGATGAAGGCCGCCGATGCAATGGCGCAAGAAGGCTTACGCGTGCTCGGCTTCGCAAGTGGTGCATCCAAAGGGAAAAAGAGGAATGCCAGTGGTACAGCCTCACCTGCACCATCCACCAGCTCGGCACTTGGTGACGATGAACAATACCGTGGTCTTGCGTTCGCTGGCTTGGTTGGCATGAACGATCCACCGCGTAAGGGTGTAGAGAGAGCCATTCGGAGACTCATGGCCGGCAAAGTCAAGGTTATCATGATTACAGGAGATGCAGAGACCACAGCAGTCGCCATCGGCAAGAGTCTGGGTATGCCAATTATGCCAAACTCAGCACTTGGACGCTCAGTCATTCGTGGTGACGAATTGGATCACATGAGCGAGGAAGAGCTTGCACAGGCTATTGCGACAACCTCGATCTTTGCGCGAACTAGTCCTGAGCACAAGATGAAGATTGTCCGGGCACTACAATCACGAGGCGATGTTGTGGCAATGACTGGTGATGGTGTCAACGACGCGCCTGCACTCAAGAAAGCAGATATCGGTATCTCCATGGGTCGACTGGGCACGGATGTCGCCAAAGAGGCCGCAGACATGATTCTGACAGATGACAACTTTGCGACCATTCTCAATGCGATCGAAGAGGGCAAGGGCATCTTTTACAACATCCAAAACTTCCTCACCTTCCAACTCAGCACCAGCGCGGCAGCACTGAGCTTGGTACTCCTTAGCACATTCCTCGGCTTCCAGAATCCGCTCAATGCCATGCAGATTCTGTGGATCAGTGAGTTTCTCTAATCCCGTTCTCATTGACATCTACTAACAATCACCTCCAGATATCCTTATGGACGGTCCACCAGCACAGTCCCTCGGTGTAGAACCCGTCGACCCAGCCGTCATGGCGCTACCCCCTCGCCCACGCCACGCCCGCGTCCTAACCCGCCCCCTCATCCAACGCGTCCTCCAATCCGCCACCATCATCATGCTCGGCACCCTCACAACCTACTACCTCGAGATGTCCACCGACAACCTCGTCACCGCCCGCGACACAACCATGACCTTTACCTGCTTCGTCCTCTTCGACATGTTCAACGCACTAACGTGCCGCTCCTCCAGCAAATCCGTTCTTGCAGGCGAGATTGGTGTCTTCGACAACAAGATGTTTAATTACGCCGTCGCGGGCAGTTTGCTTGGACAGCTGGCTGTTATTTACTTTCCACCGCTGCAAAGCGTTTTCCAGACCGAGGCCCTGGGTTTGGGCGACCTCGCGCATCTTGTTGCGGTGGCGAGTTGTGTATTTTGGGCGGACGAGGGGAGGAAGTGGTATGTTAGGTGGAAGGGACGGAGAGGGTATGGTGGAGGGTATAGTACTGTTGTTTGAATATAGAGCGTTGGGTAGAGTTTGGTGGTGTAGAAGCGTTACAATGCGCAATGGAAGTTGTTGTTCTCAATGATGTGTTTGGTGCGTACAGTTATGCCGTGCGGAATGCAGATATGCGGACTTCAATGTGGTGTTGACAGATTCGCCGAAATGAAACGCATGCACTCATCTCCATAGCAAGACTTCGTCTCATGTGCGAACGATGCTCTTGCGAGAACTCACACTGAGAGCCCGACTATGCACGTGCTACTGCAGGCTATATAAAAGCCGCATCTCTCTTCCCTTCCTCCACTCTCTACTAATTCTACTTTTTTGACGTTTTCTACAAACCGAATATTTTCATCAACATGTGTTTTCCCTGAGAACCAAAACCCAAAGCACCCTATATATGTCCACTTGTGCAAAGTCCACAAAACGAGGTACGAGATTGCCATGTATCGCCGATGTGGAGACCAGAAAACACTGAAAGAGGTGTCATGACCTGTCTTGCGCTCTTGCGCTCGTGCACTGTCGATATAAAGTCTGCGGAGTGGTCGATACCTTCCTTCCTTCATATCTCCGTAAAGACGGCTACCAAAATCCACGACGCCACGTTGTATGGTGTTGCCTGTCCGGCCTTCAAAAGACTTTGACGGGTATCTCATGTTTGCGCTGGTGACTGCAGATGCTACAAAAACCAGATTGATGTCATCGATGAGAGAGACCTCTCGGGTGGCACAAATGTGGGAACGAGCTTTTAACATGTGCGGTACGAGACTGCACCAAAGACAACACATACCATACTCATGTGTTGAGGCCGGTCTTGGGGAGTATAAAGCTCGCTCTCTTAACGACTACCATCTGTATCTTATTCTTCTTACTTTGCAAGCTATCAAAACACAGGACTAACAGACCAATGAGATTATTCGCTCTGTGTGGAACAAAATCGCTTTTCCATAGAAACATGTTGGTTTGAACGCTTCTCTGGGGCTGAAAACCTCGCGCGTAGTCGTCGTGAGGACTCTGAAATTGCCAAAAAGACCGTTTATGTCCGATGAAAGGCGTTGACGCGAACAGCGGCATCGTAACATGTTCGTCGGTGCGCTATGTTTCTCGGTTAGAGGTGTTGGCAGTATAAATAAAGATCTGTCCGTCGTCTCTGGTCTTCTCTTCTACAATTGCGCAACTCTGCAATATTCAAAAATCACCAAATCACAGATGATGACCGGTCAAGGTCTTTCTTTCCCTTCTCCAAAAGTTCTTTGGTTCGGCCCATGTTTGTGTGGCGCAATCTAGATGCCTCTCTGCTTGAGTATACACCCGCACTGTATGATCAAAGTCTAACTAGGATATATCCATGTGTATCCTAAAGTACACGGGATGTTATAAGAATCTTGCGCACCATATCATAATCTGGGAGTAAGGGGTATTTAAGTACCTGGCTACAACAATTCTACTTCCCTTACTTCCTCACTATCAGCTTCGCCAATCTCCAAAACTCGTTTACAAGGCCTTATGTTCGTCCGCCTCTAGATTCAGAGTGTTACTCCACAAAAGCATATTTGCGAAGACAGTATCAAAACCGGAACGGATTCAAGACATGAGAAGTCGCCGTTGAACCAATATTTTATCTCATGAACAAATCCAAATGATTATTTCGTACTCTACAATCATCAGAACTTTAGGACAGAATCCACCCATCGCTCCTTTACGCGCAGATTTTACTCTATAGCTTACGTACCAGAAGTGCTAAATTATCCAAGTAAAAGATACAAGCTCAATGGCATGAAGAAAGGCTCCCCATTCACTTCGCAAAACCGCTCCCAAAAACACCCCCAGCTTATTACATGGCCTTGCCACGCTGCAAGACCCTTGGACTGCCGCATGTCTTCGAAGTCTCAAAGGTAGCTGAATTACGCGTGCGACTAGCCTCTCGAAACTTCTATATAAACCCTCGTTCTTCTCTGCTTACTGTTCTCCAATACCAAACATCTTTCTATTTACCAACAAAAGCCAGCTGAAGGAAGTCCATGTGGAGAAGAGAGAGAGAGAGAGAGAGACGTCCCTACCAAAAACAAAATACCCGTGGGATAATTCGATATCGCCTGTTGTCTTCGTGCGTCTCAAAATCGGCCTACGTAGTTGCCATGCTGTTCTGTCGTCCAAATTTCGTACAAGACTCAACCATGTGCTCTCACTGTATACATATCCTACATATATACCTCCAAATGCCGATCTCGCAACCAAAATGTCTGCGACTAGCGTCACCGGGTGTTTATATAAAGATTCGTTGCGCCCTTACAACTCTTTAACTCAGCTCACATTTACAAATCATTACCAAAACCGAAGGCGGTACACCTCATGTGGAGAAGGAGAAGAAGAATGTAGCACGACCACCGAAACATACTCTCAACAACGGTGATGTGTTGTTTCTGTCTCTGGTCATCTGAACTACCATCGTGCATCGTCGAAGTCGCCTGTTCTTCTCAAAACTTCGAGTGCAGTAGACCATGTGCCTATGTTGACCGTCTGACCCCAAAATGGATGTTAACTCGCGCATGTCGTTCTGTCGCTTGGAACCATTGCGGAAGTACTGGAAGCGATGGACGTTTGAATTGTGTGTCAGATCATATGTTGAACTATCATTGTGTAGGGAACGTTGCAGGAAGATAAAGATATTGCATGGAGGTGACAATCATATGGAGGTGACAATCATCATTGTGGCCCGAGACTATCCAAAAGAACTACCTTTCGCAGGTCATATTACCCAATAATTCCCTTGTCAAGTGGATTGAGGAAGCGTGGGCGATGCAGATTGCTCGTGCTAGGTTCTGTCTTTGAGAGTAGATTTGCGTCTCTGGCTTTCACTGTATCGGACTCGTCTGGAGTACGCTCACGCTCAGAGCTTCCTCACGTCGTCCTTGACGCGATCTCCTTGTGAAATCTGGAATCGCCCGGCTGGCGCGATACCACTTTAGATTATTCTCTTCTCGCTCGCGGTATGACCCTACTTCTGCCTCATATCAACTCAACATCTCCCGTACCACACCCCACACACCAAGCCCTCACCGCACTCCACCTCACGACCCAGACATCGCCCCTCTTCATCTCAAACCGCCGATCTGTTCCTTCCACGAATATCTCTCCTACATCACGCAACGCCCTGACGAAGACCGCTTTGTCCTCATCCGGCTTATCAATCATGCTTATGCCACCCGTGGTATCATCGAGCCGTTGTAGCGATGCCGGGAACTGCGAGAGGAACGAAGACGTGTAGTGTGAGGAGAGGAGCGCTTGATGCGACGTCAGGTATTGGTGTTCGGATGGGGATAGGAGCGGAGAGGGCGTTTCGAGAGAGGACGTATGTAGCGATTGGATGTGTAGTGGGTGTGCGTCAATCTACAAACGTGCTGTTAGTATCGCCGTACAGATTGGCAGTAGGGTAACACAGCGCTCTACCTTTTTTATCCTCGCCCTTAGAAAACTTCTGACCAAGAACTTGAACCGCTCAAGCTCCGTCTGTATAATTATGAGCTTGAAATTCGTCTTCGGGTTCATGTCGCCCGTCTGGTCTTCGACAAGTTCAATCTGGCTGCGTCATTAGCTACCTTGCGTTGCGCAAGCTGCAGTCTTCCGCGCGCTCACCTGTCTCCTAATCCGCTCCAATACCCTCTCCATGAGCTCCTCAGGCCACGGTAATATCTCCGGCGCAACCCTCTCCGCGACCCAGCACCTCGTCAATTCCTGCAGATCGCGTGTCTCTCTTGGCGTCGAATCGACCGCGACCTCCGCGAGAAGGTCGTCGATGTCCATTGTACCGTTCCACACAAATGCGCCCTTTGCTTTTCTCGAAAGCCAACGGTCGTATCGGTCAGGTACGTAAGTCGCGTGTCTGCCGTGTCTCACGCGCGCGTGTATCGTGGCGGCACCGAGATCGAGGTAAGGCGGGGTGATGAGATCGAAGGTGAGCAATCGGCAGGCACCCGAAGAGCAGCGGGATGCAAGACAGAGATCTGAAGTATGTCTCGGGCCGGATGCATGCGTGTGTTGGCTTGCAGCGAGCGTGCATGCAGATTGCAGATGTTTGGTGGGGCAGGGATGCGCGATGCGGGGATCGCTTACCACTAGCGCCGACGCGTCCCAGTTTGGTTCCGACGCGTCTTGACACCTCAGGAAAAGCAGGCTACACATGTATGACGCCTTGGTAGGGGCTAAGGGTGCAGCTATCAACGGCCGTCGCTACCGCTGTATTTCAATATGAACCACTGCTAGTGTCTGGCTCAACATATAAACCGTGCATGCATTAGTTTGATGATACATCGTGGTTTCTTCATCAGGATAATGGTACAGGTGGAGCAATCTGATGAGATTTCGTTGTTGTTTCTAGCTTGGTCGACTGCAGGACATCCTCAAGCCATCCTTCGTCCATCCGCATTACAGATATGTACAGCCCATTACCTCCTCATGTTCCTCTCTGTAGATGTACACGAACCAGAGGATAGAAGTAGGTAAAGGCAAATAGATACATGAAAGAGTCGCGCGAAGGGTGATACAAGAGAAGCCAAGAAGTTCAGTCTGTGTGATGTAGAGAATGATACCAAATGAATTGTATTAAGGAAAGGGCAGTAGATGCCGTGTAGGTGATTAATGCTCTGGAGGCACGTAGACCTGTTTGTGTACTTGGTTTCGTGATGATTCTTAGATACTTGTTCTGAAGAACATGTGCAGGCAATGTTTCAGCGCTGCAAGGCCAGGAGAGATCCGTCTGAGGATGGGTAATAGTAACAAAGGAAATGAAGAAGCTCGCGAGGCAGCCTTCTTTGGACTGCTCAACGCTCGCCGTAGACAAGATGGGTATCCAGCGTTCCCTATCAAGAAATGTGAACTTTTGTCCGGGCCCACAGCTCCGCGACAAGGGGTATAGAAAAGAAACGGGGAGACACCCCAAAGATCAGATGCAGACTGTTGCCGCTGTGCAAAGATTCCGAGAGTGATGCAAGCCAAATGAAATCGCTCGAACG